GTGTACTGCTACTTGGAAAATGCTACTGATCCCATCTAGTGGCCAAAAGAGTGCGTTTTGTTTTTGTTTTGGGACTTTTGTGTGTGTGTGTGTGTGTGTGTGTGTGTGTGTGTGTGTGTGTGGTGTTAATAAAAAGGAATATTATAATAAAGGTGTGATCTCATTGTAGTATTTAAGCAGATATATTGAAAGGAAAATATTCCTATAGTAACTATATATGAATTCTGCATTATTAATTTTAGATAGAATTTTGTGTTTTCAAAATATATATTGGTGATTAGAGGTTTTAATTAAGCTCAACTTTATATTTCTTGTGGAAAAGTAAGTGACATTAAGAAAAAGCCAGCATGCCTCTGAAGTTTCCCAATCATACCAATGAGATTTTAAAAGCATGTTACAGTTTTTAAGAACATTTAACAGAATATCAGTTGTGACAATAAAGTAATTTTTCCCCATTTCCATCCTTCTTCCCTCACCCCACATCACTTTCAAATAACATACCTTATAAATTCAGGATGAGTATTGCTGCCTTTAAACTGAATATCTTGGGAAGACAAAGGAGATGCCGGGAACGTTGTCCCTTTTCAGAATAGTTTTATAACTTTAAAAAAAATTTTTTTTAATGTTTATTCATTTTTGAAAGACAGAAAGAGTCAGAGCACAAGCATGGGTGGGGCGGAGAGAGAGGGGGACACAGAATCTGAAATAGGCTCCAGGCTCTGAGCTGTCAGCACAGAGCCTGATACAGGACTCCAACTCATGTACCGCAAGATCATGACCTGAGCCGAAGTCGGACGCTCAACTGACTGAACCACCCAGGCGCCCCTATAACTTTTCTATTAGAAATATTTTTAGCACTTATGACCAAATGTTTTTAAAATATTGATATCTTTGGTGATAGATTAGATGTTTTTAGAGAAATCTAAATCAGAGCCACATCACATGAATAAGAAAGGCAGTCAGGCTTAATTATACAGTTTGAAGCTATCCCTTTTTTTTTTTGCTTTTCACTTTTCATGTATCTAAGAAAGAGAGAACACGAGTGGGGTAAGAGGGACCGAGGGAGAGAGACAGAATCCCAAGCAGGCTCCCAGCTGACAGCTCAGAGCCCGATATAAGGCTTGATCCCATGACCCTGGAATCCTGACCTGAGTCAAAATGAAGAGGTGGATGCTCAACCAACTGAGCCACCCAAGCATCCCTTGAATCTATTCTTTTAAAGTAATGAGAGTGTTCTCTAATTTTTATTCTGTGATTCCCAAAGATGATTTGATCCATTTTGTGGCTGTCATAAAATTACTCTAAATGCTGTGGTGTATACCATTAAGAATGTTTTATGCAATGTCAGTATCATTGTACAATCACAAGCATTTCCAGAATGACTAGATTTTAAACAGTGAGGATTCATTTGTGTGTGAGTGTGTGTGTGTATTTGTATGTATATTTGTTAAACATTTATCTATATTTAAATTTATCTTAGTGCAGTTATTAACTGAAATAGAGTAACATGAATTTCCATTGTTTAAATTGAATAACCACGCAATTGCTTAGTATATTTCTTTTTCATTGGAATGATTTTATATAATTCATAATGGAATTTATTTAAGTGAAACTTTATTAGAGGTAGAAATACAGTTACACTAAACTCGCAGCCTCCACATTCATTTACTATCCATTACTTAAAATGTACAACACTATCAATATTGCTACAGTGGAGTCTGTTCTATCACGTCTTAGTTGTGAGGAGATATTACTTGTTTTGAAATAGTGGAACCTGAAAAAATAGACAAGAAGATAAAAGGTATGTTTTATGGTGAAGGTACTTTTAGAAAAACTTTGTTGTATTTCTATTTTGTTTCAAGATCTTAAAAGAAAAGATCTTTTAAAAATAAGCAGTTTTTACTTCCTCTAAGACCCATTGATAAAATGCAACTGGATGGAGAGGGTAGATTTATTTAAATTTCAAATTGTTTGGTTTTGAATATTTTACAAATAAACATCCAAAATAAGTCAAAAGAGGGTTTTGTGTTTAAACAGGCAATTCAGATTAATTTCTATTTACTAATGAATAACGCATAGTTGTCTGAGATAAGTGACTTATGGAGTACCTTATATTTTTAGTCTTATAGGTTCCTCTCACTTTTAATTCTAGCCTTCTATATTTATTTATTTGTTTATAAAATGTTTATTTTATTTTTGAGAGAGAGCACAAGGAGAGGGGCAGAGAGAGGAGACTACACAGAATCCAAAGCAGGCTCCAGGCTCTGAGCTGTCAGTGCAGAGCCCAAAGTGTGAGGTCCCACAAATTGTGAGATTGTGACCTGAGCCGAAGTCAGACACTTAACTGACGGAGCCACCAAGCGCCCCCAGTCTTCTGTATTGAAATTGAATGAAAAACTTTACCAAACCAATATAATTAAAGTGTAGAAACACCACCCTTAGAAACTTAACATTATTATCAAAAGACAGGAGAAGAAGCTAGAGCCATTTTAGGTAAAGAACCTAGCTTAGGATATTATTTCAAAAGTCTTATTTTTTGTAAACTATATGATTGTTAGAATTCTCTTTTGGTAGGATTCTGTGATATTGAAACAAGCTTACCTTCTTTTATTTTATTAAGGTACAAATTACATTCTTCAAACCTCTCCTTTTTTTTTTTTTTAACTTTTGAGAGAGCACACTGAGCTAGCTCGTGGTGTCACAACTGTGTAGATCATGACCTGAGCCGATATCAAGAGTTGAAAGCTTAATTGACTAAGCCACCCAGGTGCCTCAAAATGTATCCATTTTAAATGGACAGTTGAGTTTGGACAATTATAACCTGTACCCCCAAATTTTCTTGTGCCTCTTTGTAACCATTTCCCCCTGTTCCCTGGCCTATTTTCTTTTGTCATAGATTAGTTTTATCTTCTAAAAAAAATATCAATTTTCTTGAGGTACAATTTTACATAAAGTGCATGTTTTACCCTTTCATGAATAGTTTTCCTGGCACAAAAATACATATTTTGCTTCATCACTAAAACACTGTTTTGCTTTGAGGTATGGAATTGTGTTAGGATGACGTATGTAAATCTTGGAGAAGAGCTTTGATTCCATGCAGTCTTAAGTTTATATGTAATTTCTTAGTAACTTCATAGTTAAGAACATATTGCAGTATCTTTCACAGAGTGTTTTATTAATGACCATTATTGAAGTATGATAATTTCACTTTGTGTGGCAACCAGTATATACTGAAAGTTTGAATTTTAAGAGGTTTTCACATGGATAAGTTTCTAGTCTCTTTGCCTAAGGTACTTTTCTCTTTTCCATGAGCTGTTTTACTCTTTTGATTTTGGATTCCTCTTCCTCCTTTCTCATTCTTCCTCCTTTTCCATCTTCTTCCTAGAATAATGAACTTTGGTTAAATGAAGTGATACTGAACTGGAAAATGTTTTGAACTAGTATTAGTATCATTTACATAAAGACAATAACACAAACATTTAATTTAGTAATTAAATCAGTATAAAAACTTAATGTTCTTATACCTAAAAGAATGTTTTTCAGTTAGAATAATGTCTTGGGTAAACCAATAGGTATATAGGAAATGTACTGGATTTTCGGGAGCTAGAGCACAGAGGATGTAAAAATGCCAGTAGAAATGGTTTCTGTAATACATCGTGCTTAATTTTAGTGATTCCTAGTCTTAATCTTGAAAATCAAGTAATCTAAAAACCTTGTAAATGTTGCTACTAGGCATGATACCAGAAATGATTAGATATTTTTTTACCTTAAGTTTTGTGACTAAGACTAAAATTATCCATAGTACTTTTTAAAAATAACAATAGAAAGTAATCAGAAATCCAAAATAGTTGAGCAGGTTTCAGGTACTTGGAAGTATTTTTTTCAAATGTTCATTTCCTTTGTCTATATTATTATTACTGCTTTTGTTATAAGAAGAGTGAAAATTGGTGCTCTGAGGAATGCCAACCCCAAGTAGTACTACAGTACGGAATCTAACTGTACCCAAATATCCAGGAGTTCAATTAATTATCTTCCATGGTATGATTACTTAACAGACTGACTAAATTGGAAACTTTCTTTCTGTTATGAACTATTGAAGTTACTATAAAATTTTTTAAAGATACAATCTTCTTCTAGAAGTTCCAACTCCAGTCGTAATTACAAAGTGTAAAACTATTTTAATTGAGTGCCGTAATCATGCTCTAGAATGGTTGAGAATACAGAGACGTACTGCCTGGTGTAATAAGAACGGCTTCACTGAGACAGTTGTATTTGAGCTATGTCGGGATAAGTGATTCACCTATAAAGAAATAGTACTGAAAGTTTTCCTATTATCATCTTTTTATCCTTGTTCTGTCCAATTTTTATTGGTAAAATGCATGTAACAATTGGTCATTTTAGCCATGTTTAAGTGTACAGTTTTGTGACATTAAGTACATCCATCTCGAACATCACCATCCATCTCCAGAACTTTTTCCTTTTCTGGAACAAAAACTCTGCCTGTAAAATTCCAACTCCTCATTTCCCCCTTCCTCTAGTCCCTGGTAACCACTATTCTACTTTGTCTCTGAATTTGACTACTCAAGGTAGTTTTCCTGTTATTTAACCCTCCTAGCCCACTAGCCCAACATGAAGTTGTTGTTCAGTAAATTTCCCAATTAAATGGCAACTAGGAATTGAAAAGCATTACTTATGCCATTGGGTTACCTGTATTTCTTGAGTGGACTCAAATTGCTAATTATTGTTACAATCACCTTATTTATTTGTGGGAAACTTTTGTTTGCTCTTAAGTGTTTTTTCCAGTTTTATTGATATATAATTGACATGTGGCATTGTATTAAAGTGTACAACGTAATGATTTGATATATATGTATTGTGAAGTGAATATTGCGATAAGTTTAGTTAACACCCATTACCTCACAGTTACAACTTTTTTTTCTTGTGATAATGAAGTATTTTTTATTTAACTTTTTTTTCACTTAGTTTACTTTCCTTTTTAGACCGAATCTGGATATGGATCTGAATCCAGCTTGCGTCGACATGGCTCTATGGTGTCACTGGTGTCTGGAGCAAGTGGCTATTCTGCAACATCCACCTCTTCATTCAAGGTTTGTTGTTATGCTATAGGGCAGCATAAATTGAGTACTGAGTGTTGTGAAAAGAACTTGATAGGTTTTTGAAAGAAATATTCCACAATGTAACTTATTTCATATTGTTATGGTTTTTAAGGTGCAAAATCATGATTCTTACAAATATAAAATGAACATATCAGATTTTATTTCATTCATTAATGAGTTAAGATGTAAAAAAAATTGGCTCAAAGCAGAATGTAAAGAACAGTGAAATGATTTTGTTAATATATGCAAATATATTCTGTTCAGAGATTAGTAACCAAGTGTGTTCACTGGACAAAATTAATTTGCACCTCTGTGGACTTTACATTGCTCTCAGTTTTCTACTACTTAAAGAGTTGTAAAATAGCTCCAGTGCAATGAAATTAAATTCTATATGATCAAACAACATGCTCTCTTAAGAGTTCTATAGATGGCACTCACTATTCCTTTGAAAGGTCACCGAGTAATATGTTTGCCCAAAGTCTTTCATAATTTTTCCTCACAGTGTTTAATTTGAAAATACTAAATGTTATATTAGCACATTGTCAGACTTCACTGTTCTCTACTTCCTTCAGGCTTATCACTGTCAAGCCACTAATTAGTCATGTTCAAGTCTATTCCTGGGAGTGTTACGTTGAACTTGACAACTCTCCCTACCCCATCCCCTCAGTAATAAGATGTAGACTTTAAAAGGCGATGAAACATCATAGGAGTATATAAATTCCAGTTTTGTTAACTTGGATTACCTCGCCACTTTGTGTGTTTTGCAGAAAGGTCACAGTTTACGTGAAAAACTGGCTGAAATGGAAACCTTTAGAGATATCCTGTGTAGACAAGTTGATACTTTACAGAAGTACTTTGATGCCTGTGCTGATGCTGTCTCCAAGGATGAACTTCAAAGGGATAAAGGTTAATTAGGCTATTACCACTATTTTTACTTGGAGAATGAATGGATTTAAAGCTTCTTGATCTTAAAGGGTAATGTCTTTAAGTGATAAAGGTAACTATAGTCACTTGCTGAAAACCCCCAATGTAAGATTTCAGTATTATAACTTGTATACTATATTAACATATCCTAATTAATCTGATCACCCAAACCAGATGCCATTGAAGACTTTTACATGGTTTTTAAACTCTTTATTCCATTAAAAAATATATCTATCATCTCGGTAGTATGGGGTATTTCACATGATCACGTCTAATAAATTTACCCTGTGGGGCACCTGGCTGGCTCAGTTGGTAGAGCATGCAACTCTTGATCTCAGGTCATGAGTTCAAGCTCCACGATAGGCCTAGAGCTTAACTTTAAAAAAAAAAAAAAAAAAAAAAAAAAAAAAAAAATTACCCCCTGATGAGTCTTACAGAGAAGCATGTTTATGTTAAATCCTCTAAATCTGAAATCATTTGATCTCTGTGTTCCTCTGTCTTCCTCCTCCTCTTCTCCCTTCCTTTTTCTCTTCACTTCTCCCTCTCCCCCTCCCTTCCTCTGGCTTTTTTCTCATTGAAGAAGAAATCAATAATGGAGCTACATAGATGTTTAAAAATAATCTTTAGTGAATTTTTTAATTTAAGGACATGATCTTAAGTTAACTCGTGTAAGTTTTTAAAGTTACTCTTTCTTTGTTACTGCTAAAGATATTACTGATGTTGTTAACATCTGCTCTTCATTTGTTCCTTTCCTTTGCTGTGAAGACAAAAATGCCTTCAGTATTCCTAAATAGCACCATGTTCATTCCCAGTATAACTAGGTTGCTTGACAAGGTTTCATTTCTTGGTCTTATTAAATGTGTTTGATCTGAGTTGATACTTTTTGTTCTCTCTAGTCTTTTCCCTCCCTTCTGCCTTCTTTTGGATTGAGTATTTAGTAAATAATTTTGTCACCTCCTTTGGCTTTTTAGCTATTACTCTTCGTTATTTTAGTGGCTACTTTATGGTTCATAGTATGTACATTTAGCTACCTTCAAGTAACATGCCACTTCCAAGCATAGTATAAGAACCTTACAGTTATGTATTTTAATTTCTCCCCACTACTGAGGCAAGAGTTTTCAGTGTTCTTTAACCAGTACACTGTGAATTATGAGGTTTTCCAGTCCGTGATTTGGAAACAGGTACTTTTCCCTGTACCATGTAGGTTTTGGATACTTTTCCCTGGAATTTTTTCATACAGTTCTTTCCCTGGCCTCTATAGTTCCCTCACTTGTATGTGCTAACAGTACTCTACTGAATGTTCAAAGGGACCTGCTGATCTCCAGAATTCTTTCTCTGTACGGGCCTCTCCTCTGCAGTCATCTGCCTTGTGAATTCCAGTTGCCTTTGTTTCTCTGTACTGTCAGTTCCTTCTCACCTTAGAGAGTCTGCCAGACTCCTGGTTTCCTCCTTACTCTAGAGCTTGGAAACTCTCCCAAGACAGTAACCTGGAGCAGTCATAGGGCTCATGTTATTTGTTCCCTGACTCTCAGGAATCACTGTCCTTTGTGGCCTAATATCCAATGTCTTGAAAACCATTGTTTCATGTAGTTTTTCGAGTTTTTTAGTTTCATTCTAGAGGGTAGCCTGTTTCTTCTATGTTGGTCAGAAGCAGAAACCCATATTCCTCATAAAGTACTTAATTTAGGTACTTAATTTTATCTAAATTAAGTAGCCTTAATGTTCTTTATATTTCATAGACTTTAAGTTTTAGGTTAACATTTGATATTTATTTCTATAAAAATAAAGGCCTTTCAACTTGTGTTTCTCCTTAAGAAAAATGTGTGTATATCTTTTTTTATCAAACTAAACATTACACATCATCTTTCATTTGCTTGCAAATAGCCCTTTCAACAAAAAGAGAATACATACAGAATTTATTTATTTATTTATTTATTTATTTATTTTTTAATTTTTTTTTTTCAACGTTTATTTTATTTTTGGGACAGAGAGAGACAGAGCATGAACGGGGGAGGGGCAGAGAGAGATGGAGACACAGAATCGGAAACAGGCTCCAGGCTCTGAGCCATCAGCCCAGAGCCTGACGCGGGGCTCGAACTCACGGACCGCGAGATCGTGACCTGGCTGAAGTCGGACGCTTAACCGACTGCGCCACCCAGGCGCCCCTATTTATTTATTTTTAAATGATCTTATCAGTAGTAAAGAACATTTCGAGGACAAAAGTGATAATGGAAGGCTTAGAAGTTGGGATACAGTGATAACCAGGTTGTATAGAATCTTTGAAAAATAATTTTAAATGCTATTCATGTTTGAATAAATAGCAACAGTGGTAGACTAATATATTAATTTGTTAGGGCTGCTATCACAAAGTACTATAGACTAGGTGGCTTAAACAAGAGAAATTTATTTTCTCACGGTTCTGGAGGCTAGAAGTCTGAGATGAGTTGTTACCAACATTGGTTTCTTCTGAGGGCCATGAGGGAAGGATCTATTTTAGGTCTCTCTCCTGAGCTTATAGATGGGTTGTCTCTTCCTTTTGTCTTCACATCATCTTCCTTCTGTAAATGCCTGTGTTTAAATTTCCTTCGTTTATGAGGACACTGGTCGTCTTGGATTAGGGCCCACCCTAGTGACTTCATTTTAACTTGATTACCTCTGTGAACACCCCGTCTCCAGATACAGTCACATTCTGAGGTATGAAAGGTTAGGACTTCTAACATGTGAATGTTGCAGGGACATAATTCAAACCATAACAACTGATTTCCCTATAAATGCTATTATAAAAAATACTGATATTTTTAAGAACTCATGCTGGGTAAAGGTGAAATAAGGACATGGACCATAGTTTCCTACTTTGTAGATCACAGTTGCTGAACTGAATCTAAGGATCTTTCATTAAATTATCAATACCTTGGGGGTGCCTGGGTGGCTCAGTCGATTAAGCATCCAGCTCTTGATTTCAGCCCAGGTCATGATCACAGTTTGTGAGTTTGAGCCCCACATCAGGCTCCACACTGACAGTGTGGAGTCTGCTTGGGATTTTCTCTGTCCCTCTCTCTCTGCCCTGTTCACATTCTCTCTTATCTTTCTCTAAATAAATAGATAAAAATTATCAAAATATGACAACAGTGGATTGTAGGTAGTGGATTGCTCTAATACTTTGTCATGTAGCCTTCATGCTAGCTTTATATGTTATTAATCTACTACCTTTACTCTTTTTACCTTTCCAATGAGAATTTATTCTTTCATATATTTTCTTGTTTCTAATTAACACACTTACTTTTCAGCCTAAAGAAGTCTCCTTAACATTTCCTGTAAGGCCAGTTTAGTGGTGACAAACTCCTTTAGCTTTTGCTTGTGTGGAAAACTCTTTATCTCTCCTTGAATTCTGAATGATAACGTTGCCGGGTAGAGTATTCTTGGTTTGAAGTGTTTTTATGGCTTAAAGAATTTTAAGAATCACTGTGCTTTTTAAGTGTGTCATTGAAATGATAACAGCAAATTCTCATTTATTTTAGGTGTTCAGTGTTTTTATATAAAATATTTAATCAGAATGGTTAGTTAGGCAGTCTTAGCCAGACCACCCACATTCCCACACATACTTCAGTAGGATTTAACTAACCCTTAAAGTTGTGTGTGTGTGTGTGTGTGTGTGTGTATGGTTTGCAGAAGTAGAAAACATTGTCTCTACCCTAAACATAGTGTTTGATTTTAAAAGAAGATAGATGTATCACATTAAAGGAAAGTTTCTATTAATCTTGCTCTTTTATTCATTGTTAGTTTGTTGACTTGAAGTAGATTACTTAACATTTTTTCACATCTGTTGTCTCAGCTATAAAGTGAATATTATATCCAGCACATATGATTGTGAGAATTAAGTGAGAATATACATACATTAGAACTGTGCATAACAGCAACAATTCAATAAATAATAGCTGCTGTTTTTAATGTGGTTCGTTTAGATTATTGCAGGGGTAGGGAAAGCAGGAATGTGCAAGATCCAAAGATACAATTTAGCATAATAGATTTGAATGTTAGTAAGGAAAACCAGTCTGATTGGGATGGGGGATTTATATTAGGACAGTAGCTTTAAATCATGTCACACATCCCTTAAAGGTAGCTCAAGGATGGACAAGGAGTGCTTGGTTGGGAAGGAAAAGAGGAACTCCACTCTTTTAGCCAGAACAGCTCTTATTTTCATCAATTTTATATTGAGTGTTGCACTAGAAAAATAAAGTTGAAAATCCCTGTTTGGTGGCACTAGGCTATTAGATGGTTAGAGATACAAAACCCAAAATAGATTCTAGTGAGATAAGTGAAGCACAAACCTTTCAGTAGTATTTAGGAACAGTTGATCAAAGTAGTATTGCGTCAAGGTCAGGATCTTGTTTGATGGTAAGTACTGATTTAAAAACAGAGCAATATGCTGTGTTAATGAACTTCTTAGAATTGACCATATTTGCAAATGATTGACAAGAAGATGAAGATCCACACAATCTGGGAATCTGATGAGTCTTGGGACTAAGATGCCTGCAGAGGCTTCAATATGAATATTGACGTCTATAGGAATGATGGACATAGAAAAGAAAAATGTTAGTCAGGTATTGATATTACTTTGCTAGGTAGAAATGAATAGTAGGTATTAGTAGATAATAGCTTATGATTTGAAAAAGTTGTTATAGATGAGTAGCAAAATTTTTAAGTGATGAAAAAATGAAATAGCCTAACACTAGAAAATGGCAGTACAGAACAAACGTATTTTTCATGTGATTATTGCCATTTAGGGGAGGAATAAGAAAGAGGAGTGGGCTCTACATCCATTGGAGAGAGAGAGCTAAAGTAGATGAAATGTTTATTGTAGGATGAAGTTACTCCTGATGTAAAGAGATACAGACAAGAAGTAAAACATTAATTTAGAATGAAGACTTCTTACATAGAAAGGGAGTACCTAAAAAGAAAAGAAAGAAGCCATTAAAAAACGTGATAGCAGAGAATAAGGTTTATAAATTTGCATGAAGAGTGGAATACATAATACAGTGGATTAAAGTATGTTAGTAGAAAAAGGGATAGGACATAGAACAAAAAGGTATGCAGAAGGAGAACAGAGGGGATTCTGTTTTTTCTGGAACTGAGTAAGTTAAAAGGAATGTCCAGGCACAGACACATAAGGATGAATGCAAATTGATATCATACCTGTAAGTCATTTTGTCATGACCTGTAAGTCATTCCCTACACATGCAGAAATAGTAAATTTAAGAACTCCCAGAGGCAAGTTAAGGTATCTTTTGCATGTAACTTACTCTCTTACAGTCCTGCTCAGCCCTTGCAGGCCTCTGGTAGACTTATGAAATCACCCCAAGCTGGGTAGGAAGGGATAGGATGACTAAAGGACAAAACAATTCATATCTCAATGTTATCCCTTACACAAATGAGAATGGGTACAATTTTTCTAATGTATTTCAAGACATTGCACAGCATGTTTATTGGGCATACCTTGACAACCTTTGAAAATACAAAGGTAAATAAGGTCTTGTACTCACAGAATCTAGAATATATTGACTTCATTCAAACATGAGAATAAGTTGGTTTTCTATTTCCTTTAATCCTAATATCCTGAAATATATTTTCTTTAGTGGTAGAAGATGATGAAGATGACTTTCCTACAACACGTTCCGATGGAGACTTCTTGCATAATACTAATGGCAATAAGGAAAAGTGTAAGTAGTATATTTTTTCCGGTTGGCTGGATTAAGTGTACTTTCTAAAGTTATGTAATAACTAAGTATATAACAAGAATAATTATCTAATTGAGTAGTTTTTAAAAAGCAGTGTAATTACTGGAAAGTGAAAGTTTCTTCCAGGAAAAGACATATGAGTAAAATACACATTGTGACATTAAATAATAATGGCAGCTCATTATCTAACAAAGACTCATTCTAAATTCCAGACATTGACCTGCTTATTTCAGCAGTATTTTATAAAGTCAGTTTCTAGCACTCAAAGTTTATTTCTTGGAGGGGAAGCATTATAATATAACTTGAATGTTTATTTAAAGTATATTCTCTCTGTTGAACATACTTTTCTGTCTCCACTTAAGAAACTGGTATTAAAAAGTATATAATCAGTGTTATTAAATGTAAGTTATTAAAAATAGCTCTGATTTCACCACGTATTTGTTTATAGACACAGGAGCAAGGTGGTTTATTTCATATACCCATTTATTTTTGCTGTATTTATAATGGCTAACTTATTAGATGGAATTCTGAATTGTTCATTAGAAACCTACAGTTTGCACCAACATGGATGAAGCTCGAGGGCCTAATGTAAGAGAAATAAGCCAAAGACAAATACTGCATGGTATCATTTACATGAGGAATCTTAAGCCTGAAAAAACAAAAAAACAAATCCAGAAACCTGTGATCCATAGTCAGTACTCTTCTTTTGAAATATCCTACAAAAAAGCTGGATTAGATTTGTAAAAAAATTTTTAAGTTACAAAAATAAGACATTGTGAAAAAATAAGTTAATCTAATTAAGCTTATTTTTGCTAATGTTGTGAAAGAATGTGAGGTATAATTTGTGGCCTGTTTTCAAATAATTTTTCAAACTGTCGTATGCATGGAATTAATTTTCTTTTTCGTAGATCACAGTGGAATATTCTATTATTGATACTAAAATCTGATACTTCTCTCCCCCTACTTTTTCCTTTTTGGCTCTTCCTGTTTCTTAGTTTCATCATAGCTTTCTTCCTGCTTATGACCTGCCCTCCCCTCAGTCTTGTGAAATACTAGCTTCTTACTACACGGTTATCTATCCTTGGGACTTGGGACTTGGGACTTGGGACTGAAATGTTGCACCTTACTGAGCCATCTAGACTTATCTTTATTAAATTAGAGGGTTATTTGGGGAAGATTATTTCAAGTTATATTTTAATTTCACAATAAATAATCTGCTTTAATGGAAAAAAGATTTTGTTTGGACATTGGGAAAATTGTTAAATTGTAAAACTCGCAAGTCCAATCTTCCAGCCCAGTCAGTTCCCCGACCTACACTCCCCAGAATAGAATAGAAATTTATTTTCTATAGAAATTGAAATGGACGGTTCTAGATTCTGGAATACCTGACACAGCAAAAGATAGGTGTATTGGCCTATCATCAATAAAGTGATTATGCAGAAATTTACAAACTGAGTATTGAAATTTAGCAACCTCATTGTTCTTTTTATCTCCAAGAACTCTGGTGATCAGGCACGAAATGAAAGTCTGTGTACTGAAGCTCCCTTCTTTTACCCTGTTTCCAGAATACCCATCAACCAGATGTATATTTTCTGATACAAAAATAAAACATAACTCTAGATGCTGAATGACCACAAGGAAGGGACCTATAGAGATTTTCTACATCTACCATGAAGAAGCTGTCTCACTACCAGATCACCCTTAAATGAGGTCCACTGGGTTTAAAACCCTGCTAATGCTTACAGAGCTTCTAGTAACTTACTCTTAAATGTGAACAGATAGCCAGATTTCCAGACATTTGAGGAAAGCCTCCAATCTCTTTTTCTGGAGACTTGAAACCAAGCAACAGAAGGCAAAGTTATTAGAGTCATTTAGAGAAATACCCTACAAGATGTTTACATAATTTTTTTAAATCATGAGTCATGTTTGAAGTACACTTGTGGAATGCACTGTTTAAAATAATTCCTTTCAGGGTGCCTGGGTGGCTCAGTTGATTAAGTGTCCAACTTTGGCTCAGGTCATGATGTCGCAGTTCATGAGTTTGAGCCCCACGTCGGGCTCTGTGCTGACAGCTCTGAGCCTGGAGCCTGCTTCAGATTCTGTGTCTTCCTCTCTGCCGGTCCCCCATTTATTTATTCATTCATTCTCTCTCTCTCTCTCTCACTCTCTCTCTCTCTCTATCTCTCTCTTATTTTAAAATAAATAAAAATTCATTCATTCTCTCTCTCATTTTAAAATAAATTAAAAGAACATTAAAATAAAATAAGATAATTGCTTTCTTGGGGCACCTGGGTGGCTTAGTCGGTTAAGCAACTGACTCTTGATTTCAGCTCAGTCCAGATCTCATGGTTCATGGGTTCAAGCCCCACATTGCCACACTGGGCTCCGTGCTAACAGTGTGGAGGTTGCTTGGGATTCTCTGTCCCCCACCCCTCTCTCTCCCTCTCTCTCTGCCCCTCTCCCACTTGTGTTTGTGCTCTCTTCACTTTCTCCACCCCCCAAAAAAATAAATAAATAAAAACTTTAAAAATAAACAGAATAATTCCTTTCTTACTGTTGATGCAAAGTAACTCTTGTTAATTACCATAGATGGAAAGTAACTTTCTGTTAGAGTTAGAAATGAGTTAGAAGTTTTCTATGTAATCTGGTAAAGTGAATAGAACATGTAGTCTTTAAATCTGGTACTACTTGATCATAGCATGGGATTAGGGTGTCAGTCATCTCTCAAAAAAGATAGGCTCTTAGTGCTAGATGCAGCCAACATCAGAAAAGGGAGAAATGATACTTGATTCTTGGGAATGGTCATTGTAACAAATTTTACCATTAGAGCCATCATTAAAGCTTTGGTCTAGGGGCTCCTGGGTGGCTCAGTCGATTAAGGGTCCCAACTCTTGATTTTGGCCCAGATCATGATCTCACAGCCATGGGATCAAGCCCCACGTCTGGCTCTGTGCTGTCAGTATGGAGCCTGCTTAGGATTCTCTCTCCCTCTCTCTCTGCCCCTTCCCCACTCAAGCACATGCACGCTCTCTTTTTAAAACATAAATAAACTTTAAAAAAGATTTGGTCAAGATTACCTATTGTGATTAGTGAATATGTTAAGATTTTTAAAAATTTAGAACTAGTATACCGACCTGGTAATAAATTGTATGTATTCCAAGAATAGGATTGAGGGTGAGATGTGAAGATTAGAATAAAACTTCCACAGGTTCTAAGATGATAATAAAGACACTTAAAGGTAATTTGAATATTAGACTAGAGGAGGAATTTTTGGATATGAAAACACCTTCCTGGGGCGCTTGGGTAGCTTAGTCAGTTAAGCATCCAACTTCAACTCAGGTCATGACCTCACGGTTCTAAATCATGATGTAAGGACTGTTTCCTCAACCTTTTGTGAACAATATTTACCTCTAATGTAAGTTTTCTTGTTATGTTCTGTGCATCCTTTTCTTCATTTATATTTCTAGAGTCAAAAGGGGAGACTTTATGATAATAGTGTCAATTCATCAAAAAGGCATAACAATTATACATGTAGTTGTATATAATAACAGAATGCATGGAGCAAAAACTGAATAAATTGAAGAGGAAAAAAAAGACAATTGAATTGTAATAGTTTGAGACTTGACTATCCAGCTTTCAATAATGGATACAACAAGTAGGAAGAACACCAAGGAAATAAAATACTTATAAAAACAAACAGACCTGGTAGACATCTATGGAACTCTCCACTTAACAATAGGAGAATATATATTCTTAACAATATCCTTAACAATAGGAGAATAGTATATGTAACATTCTTCAGGAGAGACCATAAACCAGCGTCAATTAATTTAAAAGGATTGAAATCATACAAAGTACGTCCTCTAACCACAATGGAATAAAATTAAAAATCAGTGACAGAAATTTAGGGTATTCACAAATACGTAGACATTAACACCCTCACATATAACCAGTGGATTAAAGACAAAATCAGAAAGGAAATTAGAAAATACTGTGAGATGAATGAAAGCAAAAATACAATATACCAAAACTGATGGACTGCAACTAAAGCTGTGCTTAGAGGGAAATTTATAGCTGAAACACCTTTATTATAAAAGAAGAGACTCAAAATACAATACAATCCAACTATAAATTGGTTCTTTGAAAAGATATCAAAGTTGATAAATCTGTCTTAGCAAATTTACAGTGTTATTAACTATAGTCCTCTTGCCATACAGTAGACCTTTACACTTATTCATTCTGCATAACTACAACTTTCATTCTTTTAACAGTACTTTCAAGAGCAGAAATTTTAAATTTTGATGAAGTTCATTTTATTACTTTTGTGGATTATACCTTTGCTAAGTCATATCTATATAGGAGTTTTTAAAGTTGAAAGTATCATTATTTCTCTTAAGGAGTTCTCTTGGAGTGGTTTTTTATTAGTTAATGGTATAAGATATTATGCTCTCTTGCTTGCATCTTGTGAGTTGTAAGAGTTTTCATTTAATTCAAAGACTAACTCTGAGTTAAAATTATAAAATATAAACATAAGAGCCATTTAACATGTGCATTGGTCTCAGACTTAATTTTGGACATTTATTTTAATTTTACATACCTTATTCAATTCTGTATGGTTTATCTTTAGGTATTTTTTAAATTTTAGGTCTCTCAAAATGTAAGGTAGTTCTTGCCATAGTTTCGTCCCACTTTAAGATGTCAGAGTATTATTGGTAAAGTATTCCTCCTACCACTTTGTTCACTGGGTGTAGTACAGCAAATAGATTTCATGAAACAACATCCAGAAAAAAGGCTATGAAAGTACATACGCTGCCACAAGCTTCTTTGCTTGTAGAGTATGGATGGAAATTTTTAAATGTTGGCCATCAAGAGGAGAATTAGAATCCAAGAGCCTGCTCTGACTTACTGGGTTTTTAAACATTTTTTAGTTTTACATTTTGATGAAGACTTATTTCTTCATTACAAAGATGTTCAGTGAATAGCTTTTTTTTTTCCCCAGTATTTCCACATGTAACACCAAGAGGAATTAATGGTATAGACTTTAAAGGGGAGGCGATAACTTTTAAAGCAACTACTGCTGGAATCCTTGCTACACTTTCTCATTGTATTGAACTGATGGTAAAACGTGAGGACAGCTGGCAAAAAAGACTGGATAAGGTAAGTGTTGTTTTTCTTCTTTTTAAAAAATAATCCAGTTTGATTCAGCTTTATAGTAATTTCTTAGGGAAAAATCTATTGGGATTGATAGAAGTAGCAGGGGGTACTACTCTTCTGAAATTTTGTGGGCATCTTAAACTCATTTTCCTAATGAGATTCACCAGTTATGTTTTTGGTTACATACAACATAAATTCTTGGTAGGATTTTAATATAAAAAATTTTGTAGTAATAGAAATGCCTTGGAATAGAAGTGATAAGCCATTTCTTAAATTTTTTTTTTTTTTTTTTAACGTTTTATTTATTTTTGAGACAGGGAGAGACAGAGCATGAACAGGGGAGGGTCAGAGAGAGGGAGACACAGAATCTGAAACAGGCTCCAGGCTCTGAGCTGTCAGCACAGAGCCCAACGCGGGACTCGAACTCACGGACCGCGAGATCATGACCTGAGCCCAAGTCGGCCGCTTAACCGACTGAGCCACCCAGGCGCCCCGTGATAAGCCATTTAACATTACCTAGCTTAATTGTGAAATACGTGCAGCTATATTTAAGTTCTTAAACACCTGTTTATGAAGTTAAACACTAGCTTACTGTGTTCATAGCTGTGTATACTTCCAGGGTCATTGGGCTATTATTTAACATATAGTACGTTGTTCATTGAACATTTGCCTCATATTCACCTGTTTCCACCTTTGCTTAAACTTTAGTATTCATAATAACATTACAATATGAGTCTTTAGTTCCTAATGTCACCTTTGGCTCAGTGAATTTGTTTAGTAGGAAAACTTCTATTTAGAATTCAACATCAGTAAAACAATAAAATGTTATAACTGTAACATATCTTAGAAGATTTAGTTCTAGTCTAACGCCATCATTTAAAGAAGGAGCTGAGGTACAGAGACTGGTCCAGAAATGCTAAGTAGCAGTTGGAAGAATTTTACTCTATGTTATATTTCAGCTCTGAATACCAGGCCAGACAGTAGTCAAAATCTGACTTTGTGCAGAAATCTCTGTCCCCACCCCCCGCCCCGTTCTCTCCCACTCTCTCTCTCAAAAATAAATAAACATTACAGCTTTGTAGTACAGTTTGAAGGCCGGGATTGTGATGCCTCCTGCTTTGGTTTTCTTTTTCAAGATCGCTTTGGCTATTCAGTGTCTTTTCTGGTTTCAGACAAATTTTAGGATTATTTGTTCTAGCTCTGTGAAGAATGCTGGTGTTATTTTGATAGGGATTGCATTGAATATGTAGATTGCTTTGGGTAGTATTGACATTTTAACAGTATTCTTCCTATCCAGGAGCATGGAATCTTTTTCCATTTTTTTTTTTGTGTCTTCTTCCATTTCTTTCATAAGGTTTCTGTAGTCTTCAGTGTATAGATTTTTCACCTCTTTGGTTAGATTTATTCCTAGGTATTTTATGGTTTTTCGTGCAATTGTAAGTGGGATCGATGCCTTGATTTGTCTTTATTTTGCTTCATTGTTGGTATATAGGAATGCAACCGATTTCTGTGTATTGATTTTATATCCTGCAACTTTGCTGAATTCATGGATCAGTTTTAGCAGTTTTTTGGTGGAATCTTTTGGGTTTTCTGTATAGAGTATCATGTCATCTGTGAGGAGTGAAAGTTTGACCTCCTCCTGGCTGATTTGGATGCCTTTTATTTCTTTGTGTTGTCTGATTGCAGAGGCTAAGACTTCCAATACTATGTTGAATAACAGTGGCGAGAGTGGACATCCCTGTCTTGTTCCTTACCTTAAGGGGAAAGCTCTGTTTTTCTCCATTGAGGATGATATTAGCACTGGGTCTTTTGTATATGGTTTTAATGATCTTGAGATATGCTCCTTCTATCCCTACTTTCTTGAGGGTTTTTATCAAGAAACGATGCTGTATTTTGTCCAGTGCTTTCTCTGCATCTGTTGAGAGGATCATATGGTTCTTGTCCTTTCTTTTATTGATGTGATGAATCACATTGATTATTTTGCAGATATTGAACCAGGCCTGCATCCCAGGTATAAATCCCACTTGGTTGTGGTGAATAATTTTTTTAATGTATTGTTGGAACCGGTTGGCTGATATCTTGTTGAGGATTTTTGCATCCATGTTCATCAGGAAAATTGGTCTATAGTTCTTGTGGGGTCTCTGTCTGGTTTTGGCATCAAGGTAATGCTGGCTTCATAGAAAGAGCTTGGGAGTTTTCCTTCCCTTTCTATTTTTTGGAACAACTTCAAGAGAATAGGTGTTAACTCTTCCTTAAATGTTTGGTAGGATTCCCCTGGAAAGCCATCTGGCCCTGGACTCTTGTTTCTTGGGAGATTTTTGATTACTAATTCAATTTCTTTACTGGTTATGTGTCTGTTCAAATTTTCTATTCCTTCCTGTTTCAGTTTTGACAGTTTATATATTTCTAGGAATTTGTCCATTTCTTCCAGATTTCCCATTTTATTGGCATATAATTGCTCATAATATTCTCTTATTGTTTTTATTTCTGCTGTGTTGTTTGTGATCTCTCCTCTTTCGTTCTTGATTTTATTTATTTGGGTCCTTTCCTTTTTCTTTTTGGATCTCAGTTACATTTTATGTGAAATGTAAGAATGTGGGTGTGATACACAGTATGTATGTGTGTGTATACTAACGTGTATATAGATATAGATATGTATATAGATACGTGTACGTGTGTAGTGTACATACATGTGTGTATATATGCATATAAGTATATATGTATATATTTATATATGTATAAGACACATTCTATAAGAAATAGAAAGTTCTTGAGTGGAGAGACTAGTTTATCAACAAATAGGTCTTTTAAGTAATTCGTATAAATGGGAAGGAAAGTACAGTGGTAATTTAATATGATTTAAGTGGAATTTCTGTTTCCTTCAAAAAGTATTTGTACGCTTCCAATGTGCTAGCTCTAAGCTAGAAATGGAAAAACAGCAATGAGCAGGAAATTGTCCCTCAAAGAGCTTAATCTATTGAGAGCAATTAAGTAGGTAATAGGTGATATAATAACAGGTATTTGATAGCAGTATTGTTTATACTGTTTCTAATATCAGTTCTATTATTTTTTCAGCTGAGTAATAGAAAATTAATATTTAGTGGTTATTTTTCTTGGTTACCTATAATAATCCCTTCTATTACAGAAGACATATACTGAATTGTTAGCTAGTCATGTCTAAGAAGACCAGAAATTCTAAGATTAAACAATTTTACTTATTAACGGTATTAGTAAGAGAAAATCAATTCACTGAAGATGTTTGCTTACATTAATAGGCTCTCATATGTAATTTCATGTGGTTTTTCATTTTCCCTTAAGTCCTTTGAATATTATTATTGTGCTGTATGTTTTTGTTGTGTTCAGTTTTTAAAATTTAGGTATAGCATAAGTATGGTAAGGTGTGCCAGTCTTAAGTGTCCTGTGTGACAATTTTTATGCATATGTATACACCTCTATAACTGCCACTCAGATTAAGATAAAGAATTTTAATAGTACCCCAGAAGGTTCCTGCATGCCTTTTCCTGGTCCATACCATACCACCATCTCAAGAGGTGACCGTATACGTATACACTCTTGTGTCTGGCTGTTTTTTCCCTCAACATTGACCATGAGATTTATTTGTATTGTTACATTTAGTGGTAGTTTATTCTTTTTTATTGTTGTATTTCATTGTATGACTTCAGTTTGCTTATCAGTTTTTCCTTTGGTTTTTATATTTTAGCTATTGTGAATAAAGCTGCTATGAGCTTTCTTGTACATAGCTTTTGGAGGATATTCACTCATTTCTCTTGGGCATATACCTAGGAGTAGAATCGTTGGTTCATGGGGTATATGCTAGCTGTGGTGGATATTGGCAAACAGTTTTCCAAAGTGGTCATGTCACTTTATACTTCTATCAGCAATAGATGAGAATTCACTTGCCTCTTTACTCTTAGTAACACTTGTTATTGTCAAGTTATTGTGGGAATTTGTTTTGTTTTTAAATTTTAGCCATTCTGGTGGGTCTATATACCTGCTTTCTCTTGAGTGTGCAAAAATTAGTCTTTAAGTCCAATGAACAATTAACTGATTTGTACAAGCTTTAATGCAGATAGGATATTTGGAAGTAGTTAGCTTTGTGTGTGTTCCTGTGGACTTTAACTTAGCCCTTAAGGATTTGAGGTAAGGTAAGGGAATAAAGAGAATAAATACACGTTCCTTATAAGCTTGTTAGACTTAAGTTATCAGATTTGACCAGGGCAGTACATTTGGTGTTGTAGAAAGAAGTTTGAGATTGGTAGTGCCAGGGCCAGCCCTTTTTAAAAAATATTTATTTATTTATTTATTTATTTATTTATGTTTTGAGAGAGAGAGAGAGTGCTAACGGGAGAGCGGCAGAGAGAGGAGAGAAAATCCCAAGCAGGCCCAGCACTGTCAGCTCTGAGCTGGGGGAGCCTATGGCGAGGCTAGATCTCAGATCTGGATCTTAGGAAGCTGAGATCGTGACCTGAGCTGAAATCATTACTCTCACTCTTTTGACTGAGCCACCCAGGCGCCCCAGGGCCAGCCTTTTTTTATGTGTTGACTTTGGGTCTTTTAACCCCGTAAGGCTATAGATTAAAGGTGAGGGTCAAAGTAGAAATCTAAGCTCTTTTTCAGCTCTAAAATAGTTTTAACCAACAGTGAGAAAAGAACTAGACATTCATCTTTCTTAGAATATATTTTAGCATTCATTGATTTCGCCTGTTGATTATTTTCTTCACATCCATTGCTTTCTTTCTTTAAAGCAAAATAAATACACCTTTACTGGGGGGAAACAAACACATAAATATATTGTAGGCATTTCTAGTGTTAATTTTATCTTTTTTCTTTTTTTTTAAGCATAGGCACTTTGACAGTTACTTAATACACCTAAATATATAGCCCACCTATAAGGTAATTCTTAGTGGTGATTTAAATGGTGGTTTGTGTGTAAAGTATATCTCAGAGAAAAGTGTTTTCTTGGACAGAACAATGCTCATTTTTCACAGGAGTGGGATGTTTCTTTTTATTACTGTTGTTTAGCCAAATTATAAAATTTCAGTGAAATGCAGAGAAAATTCCACTTCAGATGTAATTTTTCACTTGCTTTTTTTTTTTTTTTTTTTTTTTTTTTTTTTTAGGAAACTGAGAAGAGAAGAAGAATAGAAGAAGCATACAAAAATGCCATGACAGAACTCAAGAAAAAATCCCACTTTGGAGGACCAGATTATGAGGTATGAAGTTACATTTTGATTTTAGAAGGAGGAAAATATAGGTCATATCTATCATAATGTTGCAGGATTTTTTTACCACAATACCCGGGATTCATTGTCGCACTGCTTTGAAGAATGAAGACTTGGACACAAAATTAGCAGTAGGCAAAAGTTTATTAGAGTATAAGATTAGAAAAGAAGAATAGTAGGAAAGTTCTCTTTACAGAGAAGGGACATTTGGAAGTGAATGCAAGGACCGTAGAGAAGGGTCCTTGTTCTGTAAAGTTCTGGTCAGCTTTCCCTCATCCCTTCCCCCTTGTTCCTTCTCAGGTTCTACCCTTATGGGCTTGGTCACTCTAGGTTCTGGGTTATTCTGTAGGTGTTGGCTCCTTTTCATTGAATTGAGTGGTCTATGGCCATACTTAGGTCTTTTGTCAAATTTCTGAGGAAAACCTGAAAGGGAGTAAGTGGGGTCTGTTACATTCTTAAGAGGAACCTTACTCCTGAGGGGGTTTGTTGTGGTCAGACACTCCCAGCATTGTTCCAAAATAAGTGTTTTTCTCCACCCAGGGACCTCAGGCCCTAATCTTTCCCTCTCAACCTACTGAATCTTATCTTCTTCTATCATAATAAAAGTGATTTTTTTTTTTTAATTTTTATTTTTGAGAGACTGAGACAGAGTGCGAGTAAGGGAGGGGCAGAGACAGAGACAGACACAGAATCCGAAGCAGGCTCCAGGCTCCAAACTTTCAGCACAGAGCCCAGTGCGGGGCTTGAACTCACAGACTGTGAGATCATGGCCTGAGCTGCAGTCAGGTGCTTAACCGACTGAGCCACCCAGGCATCCCCAGAAATTACGTTATAATCTTAAATTCATTCCTTAAGATATACTATGTATGCAAGACACTGTACTAGGCATGGATATACAGGATCCTGCCCAAGTACCTAATGGGAAAACAGGCTATTTAACAGGTGAGTTTAACACTGTTAGCACCGAGAGGTTTTTGAGTCAGGGGTGGCTTCCCAGCATCTTAGCTGAAATCTTAAGAATGAGACGCAACTAGGGGCACCTGGGTGGCTCAGTCGCTTGAGCATCCAAATTCCACTCAGGTCATGATCTCACAGCTCATGGGTTCATGCCCCACGTCAGGCTCTGTGCTGACAGCTCAGAGCCTGGAGCCTGCTTCAGATTCTGTGTCTCCCTCTCTCTCTAGCCCTCCACTGCTCGTGTTCTGTCTCTCTGTCTTTCAACAATAAATAAACATTCAAAAAAAAGAAAAAAAAAGAATGAGACGGAACTGGAGGGTATTATGCTAAGTGAAATAAGTCATTCAGAGAAAGACACATCTCATGTTTTCACTCATATGTGGAACTTGAGAAACTTAACAGAAGACGATGGGGGAAGGGAAGGGGAAAAAATAGATACAAACAGAGAGGGAGGGAGGCAAACCATAAGAGATTCTTAAATACAGAGAACAAACTTAGGGTTGATGGGGGTGTGGGGAAGAGGGGAAAATGGGTGATGGGCACTGAGGAGAGCACTTGTTGGGATGAGCACTGGATGTTGTATGTAAGCGATGAATCATGAGAATCTACCCCCAAAACCAAGAGCACACTGTACACCCTATATGTTAACCAATTTGACAGTAAATTATATTTAAAAAAAAAATGAATGAGTAGTCTGAGTAGAAACTAACCAGGTGAATAGCAAGAATGTTTGCTTGTAGGGGCTGAAAAGGAAAACTTAAAAAAAAAAAAAACAAAAGCATTTTGCCCACAGGGAAACTGAAAGACCTTATCGGAGGGTGGAGCCTATTGAGAGGAGGGAGTAGTAAGCCAGGCTTGCAAGGTCTACAGGAATCCTTATATATCCTCAGGCAATGGGTTTTAAGCAAGTGAAAGTTTTCAGATATACCATTTAGAAAAATCATTCTTGCTCCCTGCTGTGAGGGTAGTGGATTGAAGTTGACAGCCATTGACTGGCAGCTTCCAAGACTTCAGGCTCGCAGGTGAGAATTGAAGATAACCTAGATTAAGATACAGTAATAGGAACAGACACCAGCGATAAATTTACATATTTAAAATTAGGATTAAAGAGTGTGGTGATTGAATGAAGGGAACTGGAGGTGCATATGAATTTTGAGACATTAACCAGAGGAGGTTTTAGGTATTATTAGATACAAAGATCTAACGCTTAGGTGAGAAATGGATAGATAGGCTGTGGATTTCAGGAATCATCACATGACTGAAGCCAATGCTGTGGGGAGAGCAAGGGTAGAACCCTGAGGAACACCCACATTTAAGGGAGTCCAAAGAGGAGTCTTGGATAGAGAGGAATTGGGAAATTAGGAATCCAAGGAGAGAGATCTCTTCCAAGATCATCATTAACATGAGAAATGCTGCTAATGGAGCAAGTAAGCTAAAGAGTGGTGTTTCCCACAGATTTAGCAATAAATAGCTATTTTCCTTGGTAAACATGATGAGTTAAAATGGTTTTTTTAAGTTGTTTTTTTAATAAAGTAAATTTTATTCCAGTTACTGTAGTTCTCCCTTACATGTGCCATCAAAGGAAAGATGTACCTGTCTTATTTGCCCATTTCACTTATCAAAGTAGAATTTTTTAATGCTATAGTTCCCAATTAGTAGACTCCTGAGACTGAAGTGATTGCATAGATTGAATGAGCATTAAAATTTTTCAAGTGTAGATGTGGTTATGATCAATAGAGGTTTTAAAAGCATTAGGAAATATGTTTGAGTTCAGAGTAGATTTTGGCTATTTCGTATTTTTCTTACATCAAGCAAAGTTACACTGCTGTTACTTGAATGTCGGAAATGTTTGGACTTATAAAGGGAATCCTGTAGGAGAGAGGCCTCTGGAGTGTTGTTACTATTCTTGTTGGCGATCCAGCTGGTCGTTTGATGGCTGTGTTCACTTCATGATAATTCATTGAAATTCGCACTCTTTGTATATTGTAGCTGAATAAAAAGTGTGTGTGTGTGTGTGTGTGTGTGTGTGTGTGTGTGTGTGTGTGTGTGTTTAATGTGGTTATGAGGGAGCCTCATAGCTCTAAAAGAACTAGTGCATTAAATCGGGGCGCCTGAGTGGCTTGGTCGGTTGAGTGTCCGACTTTGGCTCAGGTCATGATCTCGCAGTTTGTGAGTTTGAGCCCCGTGTCAGGCTCTGTGCTGACAGCTTGGAGCCTGCTTTGGATTCTGTATCTCCTCCTCTCTCTGCCTTTCCCCTGCTCATGCTCTCTCTCTGTCTGTCCATAATAGATAAACATTACAAAAATTTAGAAAAAACAAAACAAAAAACTAGTGCATTAAATCAAGATGTCTCATATGCCTGTGACAAGTGACAAGAGCATTACACCGTAGTTCCTCCCACCCTTTTTGCGTTGGCCCCAGGTGGTGTCACGTTGCTAGGTTAGGTACTTTCTAATGGGATAGTGATGGCCTAGGGTAATCATTCTAACTGGAAAAACTCCAGACAGACCAGCAATTATTCATGTGTCTTACTTTGGATATTTAAAAATTTAGGGAACCTTAAACCCAGCTATACCTTTTCAGCCTCAGCTTTTCCCCTAACATGAAGCTATTGTTCCACTTACAGTCCATTCACTTGTTTCGTGTCAGCAGGAACATACTGTGCTTATTTCTGTTTTCTATTATTCTTTGTACATTTGATACAGCTGAGGTTCCAGTTGCATGAGAATCGGTTGGAGAACTTATTAAACATACATATTCCTGGCTTCACCCAAGATCCACTGAAAAGTACTTTCTGTGTACGGGGACTAAGAATTTTAAATTTAACAAGTTCCCAAGGCAGTTTCCTAGCTGATTGAGAACCACTGCTTTGCCATCTAACCAGGCTTTCAAGCATCAGTTCAGTTTTTCTTTCTTCATGAAATAATAGTCTTTGTTTAGGAAGATGCCCCTCAGAAAACTCCTGTCTGTGCTTGTTATCGGCTATCAATAGATCTTATGTAACTTTGTACTTACTTTTCTGTGATTTTATATGTTTTCTCTTATCAGGTACTCATTCACAAGTACTCACCTCTGCCACTGTAGCATGAAAGGAGGCATAGACAATTCCTAAATGAATGAGCATGATTATATTCCAACAAAACATTATTTTAATTCCATATTATAATTCTCACATCATGAAATGTTGCTATTTTTTCTTCTCCAGCCACTTAAAAATGAAATTCTCAGCTCAGAGGCCATGCACAAGTAGGCAGTGAACTAAATTTAACTCCAGGGCATAGTTCAGCAACAGCCCTGTTTTAAACTATCACCCTAACACAGTGTTGGTCAGTATACAGTGGGTATATGAATATTGAGTATATGAATTAATTGTGACACTCATGATTTTGCACAGAACATATGTTACTTGTCTTTTGATATTACTTTATATACTAGCTGGTTTATAAATATTTGTCAAGTCACATTTCAACTTTCCTGTAGAGTTAATGCTAGGATTATGAAGGTTTTATATTTTCTTTAATCAACTGTTTTTTTTTTCCCTCTCGTGTGTTTGAATAGGAAGGTCCAAACAGTCTGATTAATGAAGAAGAGTTCTTTGATGCTGTTGAAGCTGCTCTTGACAGACAAGATAAAATAGAAGAACAGGTATATCTGTCTTTAAAAATTCTAACACACACACACACACACACAAATTCTAACACTAGGCATTCTTGATGTGTGTTATTTCATATAAATAAAATTTGAAAATTGTGAACCTAATAACCCAGAAAATGAACTGTCTTCACTGAGTCACAGATGTAGAAGAATCTTTACAAGTCACTTCCTTCATTGATTCATTTCTAAGCAATGGAAAGGAGACCACTGATTGTTTACAGGAAGCATGAATAATTTACATGAAATTAAATGGAAATATTCCACCTGTTCTCCTTGAAGTATCCAACTTTTATTATCTTTCTATTTAGAACAAGTATATATTTAATCTGAATAAAACAGTCTCTGTGAATTTCTCTTTACCACAAAGTACTGACCATATGAATTCACAAGGAAGAAGACCAAGAATGTATTTTTTTTCTTCTAAATTACTACCATTCCATTTTTATTATTAACTCCTTTAAAGCTTTAACAACTTTCACCTTCAGTTGCTTCCTCACTTTTGACTTTGCTCAGTATTTCATCGTTATCAAATTCGCAACAGACATACCCAGCTCTTTTTGGAAAGTGAAGGAAAACATTTCTTAAATCCTTTAACTCTAGTCTCAGGATTAGTATGATCCTTTGCCTTCTTTTAGTTGTGCAGTAGTGAAGTTACCATATATTACCACTAGATGGTACTTAGGGTGAATTTTAGTCACTCTTCACAGGGCTTTAAGCATCTTGCAAATAAATTCGTAAATGTATCAGTTGTACTACAAATTAACTTGCGTAGATAAGTTGGCTTGTCATTCTTTGTCATTGCTAGGGTAGTCATGACCGTTATGCCCATTTACTGGTTTGTCTCCCTGAGGGTAAATCACCTCTAAGAGTGACATTTTCTTTTCATGTTTATTTTTCATTATTTTTTTTCTAAATCAGTGATAAAAAGGTGTTGTTACATTAATTTATAAAGTATATCACTCATTCAAAAGAGATTATGCAGCATTCAATAAGAGTGGAAACTTTCAGGTCCTAAATGAGCTCCATATTTGTACGCCTAAAGTGTAACCTGAAGGAGTATCATTGTGTTTGGCTTTACTTCACCATGGTGTTTTTTTTTTTTTTTTAATTTTTTTGACGTTTATTTATTTTGAAGAACAGCAGAGACAAGAGCATGGAACAGGGAGGGGCAGAGGCAGGAGAACGAGAATCTGAACAGGCTTCAGGCTCTGAGTGTCGCACGCATGAACGGCAGCGGCTCGAACTCACGGACCCGTATGATGTACGAGCTGGAAGTCGGACGCTTAACCGACTGCGCCACCCAGGCGCCCCACCATGGTGCTTTTTTATTTTGATTTTGTTTTAAACTAAGTTGTGCTATTTTGGGGAGAGTCGTGTGCTATTCTGGGAGAGTAGGTCGAGACAACTTCAGTCTGAGTTTTGTAAATGACTAACTATGTAGCTGTAAACTTATCACTTAAATTCTCTGGGCCTTTGTCTTCTAATATGTAAAACAAAGAGTTACACAAGATGATTCAAATTCTCTCTTCTGGCTCCAAAATGCTACTCTACTGGATACTAATGCAGTGGTTGAGTTGGAGTTTAAAAGGATCGATGAACACTTTTGTAAATTTTAAAAGAAAAATATTCATGGGACTATTTAACTTCAGTCTGTTGTTGACACTGTGGTAGATACTCTACAAAATAGGTCATTAAACATACCATGATTTTCCTTGCCTAATAGACATGTTGATATCGCGAAGATAATTATAGTATGGTAATGCTCTAGAGTAGTAAACTTCAGTAATTCATGAAGTGAAGTTCCAAAGATTCAGATCATTAGATATTGCACAGGGCTCTCCACCGCACAGCCACCACTTAGGTATTCTTCAGTGACATTTTTGAGTTTACATTGTTCTATGTTATTTGCCAATATAAGGAAAGATATTTTTAATAAAGTGGTGAATAAGAAATGAGATCTTAGTTCTGTTCAGATAGTGCTGAATAGAAATTACTGCTTGTCTTCTGCATAGTTAGAAGATGAGTACACACACAACACAGCACAGGCTCTGGTACATTATATTTAGTAAATATTGACTAAGTGAGAAGAAACTAGGCAAGCTCAGGAGGAGGAAGCAGGTTAAGTGACAGCTTAACAGGTGTGATACCTTAATGGAAAGGAGATAAGATATCCATGACCTGGTCTTTGGAACAAAACTGAAGCAAACGATGACACTGGTTCAGATGATATAGCTCTGCACATCCCTGATGAAGTAGAATGATTGGAATAATTTGGCCAGAGTTTGAATATAAGAAAATTACTTTAACAGCAGTGTTAATTAAGATTCATGGTAAATAATGCCTTGCTGGTATTGGAGAGTCTGACCAGGGGCAGAATCAAAGAACCCATCCCTGGTCAAAGGTGGTAGCTATGGCGTCTGAAAGAAGAGACTGATTTAGAATACATGAAGTAAGTGTCGGGATTTGGCAAGGCTTGTATCTTTCGAGTATTTTTGTTTTTCAAGTATTTATAAGTACTAAAGTGTTCAGTAATTAAATGTTGATAGTTCCAGGTTATATTATCCATTCTCAAGCTACAAAGTACACTTTAAAACCTTCCCACCTAACATTACATGTTTTCTTAGTCACAGAGTGAAAAGGTCAGATTACATTGGCCTACATCCATGCCATCTGGAGATGCCTTTTCTTCTGTGGGGACTCATAGGTTTGTCCAAAAGGTAAGCTAATGTCACAGCTCACTGAAATTATATATTGTATTGTTCTTCAGTGTGGATGGAACTATCTTGTTGTATAAGGTTTCTCTCTTCTTGAATTTAGGTAATGAGACTTTTGGGTATTTTATGTTTTCTTCCAAACATACATTTTTGTATGTTTTTCCTCCAAAATGGTTAGAAATCATCTTCTGAATATAATGTTCTTTCTTTTTTCTTTAAGGGGAAAGGGGGGGATGGGGGTGGATAGGAGTGGCTAATCTGATAGTTAACCAGAAGCATAACTAGTTATATTAAGTCACTTTTTTTCTTTGGGGTTAAGTGGTATTATGTTGTATTACTGGAAGCACTGCATTCTTTTTAGAAAGATTTTGGAGCATAAACCATAATAGGTGCATGAAGTCAGCACTTGCTGCTGAGCCTGTTTCATATGGTGCTTTGTTCTCTCTTTCTTTATCTTGTGTTTGGAAGTTGGTACTGAATGCTCTGTTGTGCCTTTGTTCTGATTACTTGGTTTTTTCTTTGTCTGTCTCTGGTAGCCCTATAGTCGCTCTTCCTCCATGTCTTCCATTGATCTCGTCAGTGCCTCTGACGATGTTCACAGATTCAGCTCCCAGGTACTGTATGAATGTATAGAGCGGACTTGAGTCTTTCCGTGTTATATTTCAGCCTGCTTTCCCAGTTCCTAGATATCTTTCTGTTAGGCCACTTGTTTGGTTTTGAATTTTAAATGGTAACAATAAGCATTTAAAAGGCCTTCCTTATCTACTAAATAGTTCCTCTATCAGGCTTGCATGTGCCCTTTGTATCCTGTACTGTGAATAGCTTGGAATTTTGCCATGGAGGAGGCACTCCTGAAAGATTTCAAATTGAATTGTAACAAGTAGGAGATACCTGGTTTTTAAATACCATGTAGTTTCTTTAGATAGGATTCAACAACTTTGATGAACATGGTTTACAGAGTATGTTATCGCATAAAAGTAGGTTTTAATAGTCTCCCTTTTAATCTCAAGTATCTCATATTTCAACAGGGAAATATCTTTTTAAATAATATTTGTCTCATTACTATTATTATACTAAGCTCCATTGAACAGATTGTATTTTTGTTATGCAAATTACCCTTGGATATTGTAAATTAATGTTCCTTTTCATATACATCATTAAGGATTTAGGAATTTAAGACTGGAAACTACATGCTTGCTGTCTCTACCCTCATAATAATGTCCAAGTATTATCAGAGGAATATTTTTTAGTATCAGCCTTCGTTTTTTAAAGTTTTTTTAATCCTTGTATCTTTGCCATTGAGCTGTGTATCTTTATGGTGATTGTGTTTTATTGGATTGCATTATGTTATCTTATGTTAAGAAACTGCGCTTTCCAGTCAGAATGACCAAGTGTAAATACTGGTTAGTTGCATGATCTTGGACAATTTTTCTAACTCTTCTGTGCTTCACTTCTGTGATCTAGCTAGGACTGTGATCTGGCTAGAGCCTGGCCTGTAGTAAATGCTAAATAAGTGTGAGCTTTTATTAGTTATTATATAGCTATTTGTTAGCTATTGTTACTATAATAATAACAATTTCTTTGAACTAGTCAAAATTTTCCACATTATTTTTTTTTGCTATCAGAGTACAGTTGACCCTTGAACAACGTTGAGATTGGGGCACTGACCCCCCCCTCGGTCAAAAATCCACATATAACTTTTGACTCCCCAAAAACTTAACTACTCACAGCCTACTGTTAATCAGAAGCCTTAAGGAGAACATAAATCGCTGATTAAAATATACTTTTATGTTACATATATACTGTATTTGTTATTAAGAAAATTGTAGGGAAGAGAAAATACATTTGCAGTCCTGCACTTTATTTACTGAAACAAATTTGCATTCAAGTGGGCCTGCGCAATTCAAACCTGTGATGTTCCAGGGTCAATTGCCTTCCAGTAAAAGTTTTTTAAAAGTCCTAATTTAAAACAGATTTCTTAGTTTATACATATGAATAAAATTGACATTGTTTTTAACTCTGCAGGAAAGAGGAAAATTAAGTTTAAGTCTCAAAATGTATTCTTTGACTTTTGCAGCCTTTTTCTCATTGAACATGTTTGAGAGAGAGATGTATCAGTTCTGCTTCAGAAATCACCTAGAACCAAACTTATTCTAATATTTCTTAATCATGTTCATCCATTTGTGCAAGCTTTTTAAAGGCATATCATATTTGCAATAAATCCGTGGCAAAACTAGATAATACTGGGAGGCTTTGGTTTATTCTGCTAAGCTCCACCTTGCATTAAAGTAATAGAATAAGAGACTAAAGCTCATCAGTACCAGTCACCATTTTTCCTTAAAATATAGGAATACACAAGCTATGAATGAAAACATAATGAGAGCGATAAATGAGTGTTAAGCTACTGATAGGTGCCTAAGAATTAAGGCCTTAGAATGCAGACCTCCGACCCAAGCTGTAGAGCTATAAAACAGCTGAAATTCTTCGCGTACAGATGAATATATTACTGAGACGCAGGCGCCCATGTTTTTACAAGACTTTGCCACATTGTAGCATACTTCTTTATATTTTGTGTAACTCATGTATATAAGTTGAGAAAGATCTTCTGGTGGAATTTTTTTAATAGGTGATGCTTGTGATTATTTATAATCTTTTTTTAGCTTTTGATTATTGTGCCATTTTACTTAATTTATGTATTTAGAAAGCAAGCAAGCAAGCAAGCACATGCGCCCATGCACAAACAGGGTAGGGGCAGAGAGAAAAGGAGAGAAAGAATCTTAACCAGGCCCCACGCCCAGCACAGAGCCCAATGTGGGGCTTGATCTCAGGACTGTGAGTGAGATCAGGACCTGAGCAGAAATCGAGAGCTGGACGCTTAACTGACTGAGACACCCAGGTCCCCCTTATCGCACCACCATTCTATATGCCAAAAGAGGCAAAATTGAAGAATAACGACTTTGAGGTCTTCAAGTATTTATGGTCCTTGCTAAAGTATCTGTTGTCATTAGCAGATTTGGGCTCTGGCCCTTAACTATTAATTTGGCTTTGCCGTGTGTGTACAAATCTAGGCTTATGACTACTTTGTTCTTGATGAAGTTATATTCATGCTCCTGATTGAGTAGAATAATTAAACATAGAACTGAGAGATGTCCTGAAAATGACTTCAAATAAAATATGTGAATCTCCTAGGAAATTAGTAGCAACACACGAGTCTATTTAATTGGCAGATTTGGAGAAAGAAGTAGCTCTTACACTGTACAGAAAGTAGAAAGAACTTGAATTTATAAGTTGATCTTTTGGATCACATTTATTTGCATATCACAGCAACTATTGATGTCACCTCAAAAATTAAAAAGCAAAAATTAAAAAAATCTTTCTCTATTCGGAAAAAAATATATCAAAAGGTGGGCAATACATCAGGTTAATCATTAGTGGACATTATTGCAACCACGGTTCTGTATAAAGCTCTTTCCCCCGTTTATGTCCACAGTGACACTTTATTATTGTGGTAATTAATTATTTAACCCCCTCCCTGTTTATTGTATAATAATACATGTTAATTTTAGCAGAACTAGAAAATAGAGTAAATAAAATTAAAATATTAGATCACTGTTAATATTCTCATGCATATCCTTTTTCCATGTATATAGAAAATCAGTCACATATTGATTAAGTACACAGACTTTAATAATTGTCTTCCTACCAAAGTAAGTAATTCAGTACATACTATTTTGTGACCAGTGTTTTTTTTTTTTTAAACATATAATTAAGCCCATCTTCTCACTGGTAAATATGGATCTTTATCTCCTTTTCTGTTGTACAGATGTGCGTACTGGATTTACCTACTCATCTAATATTGAACATTGAGCCTGTTTTCAGTTTGGCTGTATTGTAAATAGTGTTACAGGAGCATCCTGTTAAATACACCCTCCTTGTGTGTGTGTGTGTGTGTGTGTGTGTGTGTGTGTGTGTGTGTGTATCTTTGTACACTTATCCAGTTATTTCCTTAGGATACATTCCTAGAAGTAGAATTGTTAGGACAAAAGCCATACACGTGTCTAAGTTTTTGTTGTTGTTTTTTTTAATTTTTATTGCCAAACTGTTCATTAAAACAAGTGGAACCAGTGACACTCCCAGGTCAATTTTCTTTTGTTATGTTGACACTGAATATTATAATTCAGTTACTTTTTGCCAGTCTGATAGACTAAAAGTTTTGTTTCTTGGCCTTTTGCGTTTCTTCATTGAACTGACAATTTATGTCCTTGTCCATTTTTCCTTTGCGTTAATAGTGCACTGTTAATTTGTTATTAATAAATCATTCTATCCAACAAATCCCTCTATGATTGTAACAATAAGCATAGTTGTATTCCTTCCACGTGGGTAAGAGAAAGAGATTGGAGCAGTCTTTGAGCCCTTCTAGAGTCTTGTTCATTAGAGTTTTGATCATTACATCAAAGAGCAGTTTTTGTTTTGTCATCAAAAGGCAGTTTTCTTTTAAAATTTCTGTACTGATGGGGCGCCTGGGTGGCGCAGTCAGTTAAGCGTCCGACTTCAGCCAGGTCACGATCTCGCGGTCCGTGAGTTCGAGCCCCGCGTTGGGCTCTGGGCTGATGGCTCAGAGCCTGGAGCCTGTTTCCGATTCTGTGTCTCCCTCTCTCTCTGCCCCTCCCCCATTCGTGCTCTGTCTCTCTCTGTCCCAAAAATAAATAAACATTGAAAAAAAAAATTAAAAAATAAATAAATAAATAAAAATAAAATGTGTTTCATCTCCATTTTTCATAGTTCATTTGCTATGAAGATATTTTGTATGTCATCTCATCATTTTCGACTCTAGGTCCAAAAAAAATCAAGGGCATGATTCCTGAAATTATACTATCTAATTAAAACTAGTGAATGCTATTAGAGCAGATGAAACCTGCTTCAATGATTTTGATCCAGTCTTTTAAAGTGATGGCAGATGTTACTAGTAATATTATTTCATAGTAGGGGCACCTGGGTGGCTCAGTCAGTTAAGCAGCCAACTTTGGCTCAGGTCACAATCTCGCGGTCTGTGAGTTCGAGCCCCTCATCGGGCTCTGTGCTGACAGCTCAGAGCCCGGAGCCTGTTTCAGATTCTGTGTCTCCCTCTCTCTCTGACCCTCCCCCCTTCATGCTGTGTCTCTCTCTGTCTCAAAAATAAATAAACATTAAAAAAATTTTTTTTAAATATTATTTCCTAGTATATCGAATTTTGAGCCTAATAAAATGGTAAATTTTGCTTGTATTTATCCTTGTCCTCCCAACTTAATGTTTTCCAATCACTTTGGATGTGCAGTCATAACTGAAAACAGTAAACAGATCATTAGGTTAGATTGGAACTGTCAGTGTGGACACAAATGCCTGAGTCACTGCCCCAGTAGTAACATTTACTACTTCATATTTCATTACAGTGAACATGAAATTCTTTATAGTGAGATTTTACCTGTATCACCTCTCTTCTTAATCTCAGTGTTGTTACCTCAAGGAAGATGCCATATGGATAAAGATTCCATGATAAAAGCTTTGCAGAGATGGTTACTACAATAATTGGGTACTTCAGTTTCTTTCATCTCCTAGAAAGAAGCACAGCACTAAATTCATCTTGTTTATTTCTTGCCCTCTTAAGTCTAATAAGTGTATAAGAACAAAAGACTGAACACTTTTCCATAGATGCAGTGGTAACTAGGATAGGAATACCATTTTTTCATCTGTCTAGAAAGACAATGTTAAATGTGCTTACTGTACGTTGTTTTAACTTATGTTACCAGCTGTCAATTTATATTTGTGGAATCTAGTTTTGGGGGGACCAAAACACAAAAACATTATTCCAACATTTGAAGTAATTTGTCAGAATTATCGCCCAAACAAAAACACAGTTACCTGTGTACTTTCCAACAAAAGCTTACATGGTACTAAATTTTTTTTTAAGTAGAACTCTTTTTTAACAGAGTAAAATCCTTTCATTCTTCTTTCCTAAGTAGTCTATTTGAAGTAGGTCTTATTTCTGGGAAGAAATTTTTTTCTGCCTTTAATCTCATAATAAATATAGGTGTTCTCAACTATTAGTGTCCCATCTACAAAGTACATATTTCATATCTAAAGATTTTTAATATCTTTGGATCTAAAAAGGGTAAGAATTTTTCCCAATCACGATGTAATACAGACAAATGAATCGAGCCAGTGCTATGGTGGTTGTTTGTTTATGCCTACTAATTGGAACTTTCTTTGTTCCTTCTTCTTTGGGAATTCAGTTAAATTTTGTATGTCCTCATAATTTGGAACCCTGCATTAGTCCTCGTTACTGTCTCAGAGCAGATTTCACATTTTTTGGAGGCACATAAATTTTTCCATGCAGCCCCTGGAGTTATGTTTTCTAATGGAACCTTTTTAAAACTATAGAATATACTATTAGTTACATTTTTTCAATTTCTTTCAAGTCTGTAGCCCAGTGCCATTCACATTGTTTGGAAGATAATATGTAAAGATATAGAATGTTAAAAAAAATTTTTTTAAGACATAAATGTTATGTTCGTGTTCATTTAGTACAAAAATAGATTGTAGAACCTGAGTATAAAATCTTTATCAAAAACTTTTATGATTATTACCAATGACACTTAAAAGTCATACCTACTTTTAGTAGCAAAAATGCATTCTGAAATCGAGAAAACTTTATGTAGTAAAAGTATATGTCACTGTAACATATTGGTAACATCTTTCTGTGTAGGAAAATTATACCTTCAGAGTTAATAATTTTAGGAATTTTTGCCCCCAAATCATTAATATATTTATTTCAAAAAATAAACCTGGTTCTTGTCTGTATCCCTAATGAGCACAGTAGACTTCATGTAAAATAAGTAGTTAAACTTAGGAATAAATTAAGTGGAAGTATAATATACATATTTCCAACTCTTTTCATGCCTTCTCTAATGTACTTATTATATAAAACAAAATTATGAGTAAAAGGTTAGAAAATGGAGCTTAGAGAAACCGTCTCTGTAGATGGATAAAGCAGCTCCTTCAGAAACCATCTTTTTATCACTTCACTTCTGTTTCAAACTAGGTGAGTTTGCAAATAGCACTCACATGAAATCTTACCAATAAATGATTGTGGATTCTGGGAGTGTGAAATACTCAGTTTTATTTAAAGTTTATGTAAGATGTGGAGGAGTAACTGGTGATAGTTAAAATCAGAGGTTTTATTTAAATTTCAGGAAAAAGACAGTAATTTAAAAGAAGACACTAAAAATTGATTATTTGTAAATGTCTGCATATGTGATTATTAGCATTTTCCCTAAAAGAATGCAAAACAATGAAATTGGAGTCAAGTAAGTAGGGGATTGGTTATTTTTCATTCATAGTAAAAGTGAAGTGAAGTTTATCAGTGAAGTAATAGAAGTTTTTTTTTTTTTATCATTTTGTAGCGAAATCTTGCCATACATATAAAAAACTGTTATCTGTGTAGTCTTAAACATAAAAGCACTGGACTAGATTGTCTCTTTGTGCCCCTTTTACCCTTAGTGTCCCATGATTTTATGTGCTAAATAATTATTTCTGTAAGAAAACGTTTTCTAGTGAAGGAAGGAACTTTTTTTTTTCCAGAAAATGCTTATTTTTGCTGACTTGCTGCACATTAAGCCAATATATGTTATATGAGTGAAACGTCTTCCTTCTCTGCATTTCTCCCTCCTGTCATTAACCTGGATATGATATCTGGAATGTGGACTAAACTCTTCAACGCTGTATAAAATCTACTAACCTTTGTGCATTTGGTTGCTCAGCTTTCTAAAAACATCATTTCTAAACTGAAATAAACTGAATACCATTCTCTTTTAGAGATGATGACATGGCTATTCATTGGATTGGGATTGTTATGATTTTATTTTTCTTTCCAAGGTTGAAGAGATGGTGCAAAACCACATGACTTACTCATTACAGGATGTAGGTGGAGATGCTAATTGGCAGTTGGTTGTAGAAGAAGGAGAAATGAAGGTAATTCCCAGTAAAATGTTAGATTGCTAAATACAGCTGTGTTACAGTCATAGTATCATTACTGCCCAGTGATGTGAAAGAGGATAGCATTGTAAAATTCCTTTTAAACAGATTGTTACATATGATCAAAGAAATGTGCAACCCATTCTGTTTTGCCTGGGCCATGGAGAAAATAAATTTGGGGTTTTAGATATGAGCAAATCATAACTAGCTGATGGCTCTCTATTTGGATATTTCTCTTAATTTATTTTTTAATATATTAAATGATGTACCCAGATCACTTTGTTCTCCTTTTTGGTATATACTTCTAGTCCTTTCTCTCACTGCATCTTCTTTCAGTATTTGGAGATGGGTCTGCTAATCTTGTTCATATCCTTAAACACCAGAGACAGAGAATAGAGCAAGAACAAGATTTAGAGATGGATTCTAAACAGCAGCTGCATTGAATTTTGGATTACCTCGTGCCCAAGGCCATGCTAAAGATAAAGAGATGTTTAATAAGACTTTTCCAACCTGAAACTTTCGTTGGGGAAGGAGGATATTGACTTTTAAAGAGACTGTTACTTGTCTCTTTCTGATAATGTATTGAAGAAGAGCACAGATGAGTAGTGAAGAAAATTGGAAAAGAAAGAGTTCTCTGATTTGAAGCAGCTAGATTGTTTTACACTGAGGAGAAGCATTTGAACTATGTCTAGAAATGGAAGCAAAGTTCTGACAAAGATGAGGCAAGGGTCTTTTAGACAAAAAATACAACACAAGCAAAATCTTGAAGACAAAGTTCTTATTCAGGAGTTTTGAATAGACTGTATTGACCAGAATTATTCTAGCAATAGAGATACAATATTAAATATATTGGAATTTCTTTTCCTCCTGAATAGAGGACTAATTAAGAAGAAAAAAAGAAGAGACAAGCAATTGAGATAACAAAATATTAGCTATAAATCTAATAAGCTGAGGGGTACCTGGGTGGTTCAGTCTGTTGAGTGTCCGACTTTGGCTCAGGTCATGATCTCGTGGTTTGTTGGTTTGAACCCCGTGTAGGTCTCCATGCTGATAGCTCAGAGCCTAGAGCCTGCTTTGGATTCTGTGTGTGTCTCTCTCTGCTCCTGGCATTTGCACTCTGTCTCTCTCAAAAATAAACATTAAAAAAAATAATCTGTTACCCCAGACTTAAGCATAATGTTTCTGACATAACTAGATAATCACAGGCCTTCCCCCAAGAGTAAGCCCCAAAAGAAAACCAGGATACATATTCTCTGTAGAGGAAGGGGTGAGCCAAGCCTACCAGTCCTTATTCTGTACTCGACATTCACTTAGGACATTCCTTCCCCCCTTGGGAGGAGAAAGTGAAGGGGTGCAGAGAAACCAGAACCTGATAGTCTAGATGAAGTCCCTCCATGCAGAATGAAGAATAGAGAATAAGTGTTCCTACAGCCCACATTAGAAAGAGAGTGACTGGGGCGCCTGGGTGGCTCAGTCGGTTAAGCGGCCGACTTCAGCTCAGGTCATGATCTCGCGGTTTGTGAGTTCGAGCCCCGC